GCAGCGGCGCGCATTGAACTCGAGGTTCGAGCGCGCGAGAAAACGGTAGCCGCGCGGCGAGAGAAACAACAATGCCCGCGCGGCATCGGAAATTTTTGCAGCCATAAGCATTGTACGTACACGTGGTAAGATATCGCGCGAGCATAAGGCGCGGTTCGCGTGCACGCGCGTCCAGACGGAAAAACACGAAAGTAATTCGAGTACACAAGATACTGAAAGAGAGAGGCCCTTTTATTAACGAGCGGCGACGGTCCCGCCTCCCTCGAGTGCTACCGGTGCCTTTTTTTTTCCGTTGTTTGCTTACTCGCTGCTAGATCGGAACAATCAACAGACAATGGGAGCTCCGCGCGCGCGTGAGTTGGCTTGATTGACGACGAAAATTACTTTTCCATCGAATATATCAGGACAGTTAATTTGATTATCTTGTCAAGATCTCGACGATCTTTTCTCTTTGTTGCAATTCGTGTTCGCAAGGTCTATTTGGAAAAACGAGAGCGCAACCCGTTTCTGTTTAATGTGGAATCATTAAGATTTCGTCACTGATCATCCTATAATGTCGTTTGTCGTGCAAACCAAAGAAATAAAGTAAACGAGGGCGTAAATATGAGGATGCATTTTTTTTCGTCATTTCGCAAGTCAATTTAATTGTAGACGAATGATGAAAAACAGACGATGGAAAAATATCGAAGCACTGTGAGCTAGGCTCGGTAAGAATTCTCATTGACACATTAAAGAGTCAGTCGCGTGTACTCTCCGTGATTGATTGAATAACGGACACAAGCTTTCCGACGAGATCAAGCAAAATTACATTTGTCAGCTTGGCAATTACTTGACTGTGAGTGTCAATTATTGCATATCATTTCGACTTAATTTTATCACCGTGGCGTTATGCGCCTGCGATAAAAAAAGGGAAAAAGAAACGCCTCGTAATGACAGAGCGCGTGCAGCGGATTTCAAAAGAATGTTCCGGAACAAGGTCGACCGGCAGAGGTTTGAATTCTTTGAGAAATCGGAAGCACACGAGTAAAATGCCTGCTTATTAGCGCTCTCGTTCGATCAGCTTACAACTAGTTTTTACACTAAGAATAAGAGCAGCAGACACTATCAATGTAACGGAGGTACGCTTTGTTTATGGTATCATACAGCGAGTAATTAAAGACAATCCCCTTATTAACGCAGCTACTTGTGCAATCACAGTGCATTACGACGTTTCTCGCTCTCTATCTTCACGTAGCGTTGCTGTTCAAGTGTACTCAAAGTGATTTCATTTCCCATTTCATCAATAAGACGATTCTAATGGCACTTTGTTTCGCAGACAGTATTATACGGCTTACGATAGCTTTTGAATTAAAATACACAGACACACACAGACACACACACACACACACACACACACACACACACACACACACACACACACACCGGTAGCAGCGACGTTTCGAAATTAATGAAACTCGCTTCGGTTTTATTGTGCGCGGCCGAGTTTTCGAAATTTTACGATATACCGTCCGGCGTATGCCCGGGCTTTCTTCGATACGGCCGAGCGTTTTCTTCTCAGCGATGCATCCGTTGCGGCTCTTGCACGCTTTCGAATCGCGCGCAAATGCATAGATTATCAAGGATCTCGAGGCGGCTTGTAAATGTAGACGCTGATTTTGTAACCACGCGCCGCAGCACGCGCACGACGCATCGTTCAAAAATGTAACACGCACGGAAAGTAAAGACCCGGCGACGTCTAATAATTAACGATTTTGCAACATTCGCGGACAGAGGTGAAAACAATACACGCAGCGAAGGAGAAAAAATGCGCATTTTCTTCTGTCTCTCTCTCTCTCTCTCTAAAACGACAACGATGGATTTCTCTTTTACCTGACCCATTTTGCGTGACTATGGAAATTAACATAAGCATATGTGTCGGTCTAGTAAAAGGGCTACAATTAGCTACCGTCATGGTATTTATCTCGTTCAAGTAACTGATTGATTAGACTTGACGTGTATATGCGGGGTGAGTGTATGCATGCGAAGTCAAATAAATATCAAGCTTGTAATATATTTTTTTCTTTTTGTTTAAATATTAGTTTTATTCTGGCTTATTACAGTAGTTTATACATGCAATACGTTGATGCTGCTTTTTCTTGTATTTCTTTAAATATGAACACATACAGTATGTTAACAACTGAATAAATTGACGGATGAGAAATGTCGTGCATATGCCTTAATGTCTGTGTACATTTGACATGTAAATTAATTAAATGGTATTTTTGGTTGGCAAAATCATTACGTAATACACAATTATAGAATCTATGAAACTGCCGAGCTTGCTCTTATAGTTACTAAAGCTACGCGATTGCCTACGCGAGACAAATGTAATGAAACATTACAATACGTACAATAGAAAAAGTCCAATAGAAAAAAGAACGAAATTGTTTCTCTCTCGATAGTAGCGGATGTTATCGGTGTCGTGAAACATTAATCTGCACCACATGTATCATCGACAACGTAACATACACGAATTGACGCTTCGAATCATTTATTTACAACAGTTTTATCTTGCTTGTAACATATATGGCTGAAAGCAGAGGTTGTGTGCTTATGTGTGTGAAACTGTGACACGGCAAAAATTTCCTCGACTCTCTCGCTATGCAATCAGAATTAAAAAAAAATACTAAAGAACCAGTTTTACGAACGTCATAATTAATAAATCACTCTAATAATTATCTAATTAAGTGCCTACAAGCTGCACTCTCTCTTCGAAGTACAAAGACTCTAGAAGAATAAAAAGGAAGAGAAAGAACAATTGTTTTTAATGTCTATCCTCACGCTTTCGCATCATACTCCATCTGTATATAAAACACGCACACTGGCATAGTTCGAAACATCGTATATGCATACAGACACGCGCACGCACACACATTTAATTACAGTAGACGCATACGAGCAGCGGCCATGGCAAACTTTCGCACGTGCTCGCGCCGTATAATAGTTAGGAAAAGGAAAAGAAGAGAGGAAAGATAGATGGTATACAAAGCATCGGTGCGCGTGCATCATACACTGACTATGCTTAATTGCACTCGAGCGCGATTATCATTCGAGCGAATAAATATATAATGAAAATCGATGAATTATGAAAAGCTGACGAGGCATGTGGATTATGACTGGCGACGGTTCCTCGGCGTGTCGCAAGCCGTCGTCGTAGCTGGGTCCGGTGTAGAAAGAGACGTAGAACGAGAGAGGGAGAGAGAAGGAGAGATCACGCGCATTGGCCGCCAGTCGCTGTCCTCGTCGTCGGTGTCGTTGCAGGCTCCTTTCGATTGTGTCGAGCGCCTCAGTACCAGTAAGTCCAGAAAGCTGCCAACAGACATGGACAGTGGACACGTTAGATGCAGTTGGGATAGCTTACTGGATAAATCATGAGCCGAGCCGCCGGTGGCAGCCGGCAATTTCGTGCGATATGCCTGCCGCGAAAATCGCAAAAACCGCTAGTTATTCATGCAACGGCTGTTCTACGTAGCGCTCGCGCCTGCAATCGATAGCGTACGGTTGCATCGCTATTGGAATGCCAATTGGCAAACGCACGGTGTGTTTCAAGGTCGCACGACCGCGAGATCGCCGGCTATCGTAGTCTAGTGCGGCAATGTGCATAAGTTTGCGCAGCCAATTGAAGATTTAATTGACAGCTTTAAAATTTTCGTGGAGAATGGAATGCGCGCGAGGGGCATACGTATAATCGGCATGGCAGCGGCGCGATCATTGCCGTTCTCACGACGAGAGAGCCAGCTTGTAATTTCAGATATCCGCAAACATGCCGCACCACTTATAGAGCGTATATACACAATGGCAGTGCCAGCGACGGCGGCAGCGACGGGTTGTGAAATTGGTAACAGGTGCCTTCTCGCGGTATACATATATATAAGGCTGTAACGAGAAGATATGAGCAGCGATCGCGTGGTATACGATTCATCGAGCGTAAGGATATAAGTGACTCGTTAGGGAAGAGAGAGAGAGAGGGAGAACACAAAAAATTAAAACTGCCACACACGTACGCAAGCGTAAAAGCCAAGTCATTCAGCTGTCATTGACTCACTCGTAATGGGCGTCAATTAGCTGTAAACAGAGGGCTTTGGAAATTACATATCTGCTTGCGCGCGTGCGTTAGGGTGATTTTCTGGACCTCGCAGCCATTCAGGGTTTCTCTTTGTTGCATCGTCGCCACGCCGTTTTGCCAACGATCGCACTTCGATCTCAATTTCATTTCGAACATCCCTTTTTCGTCTGTCCTTTCCACAAATGCAAATTACGTATTGCGACAGGTTAATGGACAAAACTGATCGTCAATCGTCCGGCATAGTTATCGTGTCGAGCGCCCACATTCACCTTTATTAAATGAGATAAAAATCACGATGAACTCCAATTTAAAATGGCTTGCGAAAATTTTCGGCTTGATCGCAAAATATTTGCTCTTTTGAGGCAAATTCCTACCCCGTATGATTGAACATTATTTTGTCGATAATTTTCAAAATCGCAGCGATCGAACAGTAAAGACAATGAGAGAAAAAAAAGTAGAGTTTAAAGCTGACCAAGTCTCGCTTATCAAGAAACGCAAGCATAAATAGCCCAAAGATTGACTTGATTCGACTGTCGATCTTGAACTAAGAACGTCATTGATCCGAAAGTTCGAATAGCTTGACCTTGTAATAATCTCGTAACCGCTTGGCGATGAATGTTATCATAAATCTAACTAGTCACTTTTGATACTTTCACTATGTAGCTCTCTCTCTCTCTCTCTCTCTCTCTCTCTCTCTCTCTCTGCTGACTGCAGGTGATACACCAAGAGCGTAAGTCTAGTGTTAATTACCTCGTTTGATTGATTAATAGGAAGAGAGTATATACGTTTCCTCATTTTCATTTTCCATTTTAGCAGACATGCGCGTGAGGATATCGAGTGTCTCAATTAAGAGGATGCGTTTACCAGGATACAAGAGGACATTTGGATCGTTCTCTTTATTACATTGAGATGTTGTAAACACACTTTGAAACTACGTACATGCACAACCAAGAATATTTTTCCACACTCACAGTGCATAATTATAGCGTTAGTGATTAACATTTTAATTAGTTTGAGGCAAGCATTCTATCAGCGAAGTTACCAATATAATCCCGTCGAAAGCGGTGCAGAGACTTGTGCAATGGCAATCGACAAATAAAAAGAGAAGTCTATAAGATCCTCGTGACTCTGTGATGATTTTAGCCGGTAGAAAGTTTTAATTACATCGCGGGATGGTGTCATCCGAATGAAATCGAAAACGCGCGCTTTCACCGTGGCACGAGCTGAGCGATTGCATTTATGCGCGCCAAAACTTCCTCGATGGAATACTACATGAACACGGCAGCATTGAAGAACACGATGTAAGACAGGAGTCTAATACACACGTCATTGTTCCCAAGAACAGCAATGACGGTGACAGCATCTCCCGACAAGCCCGTGGTACGTGAACGAACTCAGCCTCGTATGCTCTGAATTCTCCCGCGAGAGTGAAAGCGTTTCGCGAAGCATGCACACGAGATCAGGTGATAAGAATACAGGGTGTATGTACGACGCGCGCGTGTGTATACAATGTTTTGCGCGAAGAGCTTTTTGGTTTTAATCTGATGCAGTCGACGAACGTGCCAATCTGCACTGCGCCTCACTCGGGGATTTATATTTATTTGGGCGTGTAGGTATGGATCGATCGTTGTGTAACACACTACCAAGCAAAACTCATGCATCTGATAACACGGCGCGAATTTCGCCGATTTACGAGCTTTCGTCTTTTTATTTCAAAGCTGTTGCAGACCTCGCACCATTCAGCTGCGTGTATGTGTGCTGGACAGGATTTGCGTGCAAGGACAAAAATCAGCAGGGATGTAGGAGGTTATTCACATCGATTCAATTTACATAAATAGCTCTTCTGTTTTGATTTATTATTATTATTCCATTGCGTAAGTTAATTCGAGAGAATAAACAAAAAGGACGGGAAGATGTGGGTACTTAACAAATAACAGTTATATATATATACACAAACAAAAAAAGACGAGTGCTCGTTTCTTAAAACTTAAAAATAGAAGCTTTCAAGCTTACTCTCCAGCCCAGGTGTGGTAGTTTTATTTACAACCTGGAGAGTCAAGCGAGAAATTATCGGTTGTTTGTCAATTTTTTTCTTCCTTTTTCCACATGTAAGTAAAAAGCGCTGCTACTATTTTTTTTATCATAATACTATATCAAAGTTCCACCAAGATGAGAATACTCCACTCAGAACCCGCGGCCGATTGGTTTACCTGCGTTGGGTGGCACGAATCCATATCCGCTTGCACCTACAATTACCCCGCTCGTCTCGTTCGGGTCCGACGTTGGACTTGGCGGGAATACAACTGGTCCTGTAAAATATTCAACGTAGTAAGTCGCGTTGCTCAGTGTGAATAAAAAAAAAGTCAATGTCAATCAAAATCGTTGCTTTGTTTTGCAGTATAACTTTAACGAGCTTCTGAAACGTCTGAAGAAAAATAAAAACCATTGGAAATTGATGGCGCTGTCGGTAAAAATAAATGTTAACGATTTTCTCGCTCGCAACAACTTTGACGTTTCATTAGAGGCAACTTGGCAGCCGTAGCGTGGCAATAATTAAAACATTGCATATAGCCTATCCATGGTGCCGTGAAAAAGCTTCATGAAAATTGACATTACAGCAACCGGCACCCACATTGTATCGCGCTGCTGTCCCCAACAAAAGCGCAATTAGTCGAATCTGGTGCGATCGAGGGCTGCGCGTTTATAATGCCTCGTAAAAGCGGACGTTAAAGCGTGTGTTGTATGCACACGCGTGTACGCCTGCGTGAAAGTGGTATAGGCGAGTGCGTGAAATATCCTTTTATCTGCGGGCAAGGACGTCGGAGAGCGTAATCACGCGTGGCGATTAACGCGTTATCAGCCATTACAATGATTACAATGACCTGGGGGCCAGGCACGGTTGCGTTTATCTCGTAACTTTTTTCCATCGTGTCGTAGTCGTCGTTGTTGTTCGATTTCACTCTGCAGAACTTTCACCGCTCAATCCTCTTCGATCGACTTGCTCCGTAAAGCGAAACGATAAATACAATGCGATACATCTCAATAGGCTGGTGCGAATATAGATCTTGGTCGATGATTCAAACAAACAAAAGTATACGCCAGCAAAATCGCGCTCGCGGCCTTCAGGGTCGTTGCACTCACGGTCCTCGCGATCGCGTGCTCCAGGGTCGATATATCGCTTTCAAAATTCGATCGATGATTGTTCTGTTTTGTCGATGCGAAAAAATGTTGTTACACGACAGCAGATGGATTATATTTTGTTTGTCTTTTTTGTTCTTGACTTGGAAATTGAACGAAACGGATGTGTGTGTGTGTGTGTGTGTGTGTGTGTGTGTGTGTGTGGGTTTGAAAAATTAACGACAGCAACAACTTGTATTGTATTTAATTTTTTATTAATACTGGTTGTTTGAAATATTGAGAAGGATTTAATGATACAAGTCTGTCTAGTTCTAAGTTTAATGCTTCAAGTGCCGGTCAATCAAACAATTTTTACGAATCAGCGACCGTTAAGTAATGTATTTGAAGTAAGAGTTTTCCACTTACATGTGTAATTGATTAAATTGAAGTTAGTGATAAAAATGAAATGATACGCGTTTATTTCAATTAAGAAAAATAAATTGTAAAATACAACGCGAAAACATCTTCATTAACCCGTTTAGTGGGTTACATATCACAGGCGATTTCTCGAGATTTGTCAATTCAGCGAAATTTGCATGCGACTCGAGTGGCAAGTGCGCCAAATCGTCGGCGAGGCGATCGGATGAAGAAATCCCGTTAAATATTTCCTATCGTTCAATTTGCATGAAAAAAACCATGAAGGGCAATTGAGCGCTCGATAAAGCGTTCTATACTTCAAGTGTTCTTCCGGAAATGTTTTACTTTCTCCCACACCGACAAAGAATCACCATGCGCTTGCGAAACGTGTAGCACAACACTCTCGCTCTTGTTGTTTTTTTTTCTTCCTCCACCATTATCGTACAGAAATAATAGCGGCATTTATGGAAACTGTGGGACAATGGAAGCGACAAAGTCACGCTCTCCCGTGTAACGTATATGTTTCATAAGTTTCTAAGTCTCCCGCACATGTAGTCTGTCACTTGAGGGGGAAAAAAGCTATGAGTGAAAAAAGCTGATATGTGTGTAAATGTTTGGTTCGACGTTGGATGCGTGTACAGAGAAATTGGCTAACGCTTCGCCTCGTTTGAAATAATTAGAAAAAACCCGACTAAAAAGCTACTAATGCTACTTATACGCCTCTTTTACGAAGCGATGGTGTAACATTACGAGATTATGCGCTTTTATCACTGCTATTACTTTTTTCAGAAATGATGGTGGGATGTTAATTGAATCTCGTCGAGTAACTATTATTGGTCTTATCCAATCACATGCTTTGTAAAGAAATGAGATTTTAATTCAAAGAAAGTTATATTTTATAAGATTCCATTTCCAAATTTGTCATTATATGTGAGACTACCGAATACCTGTATTTTATTATTTGATTAAGTTCTTTAACACGTGTTGTGCTAATTATCTTGACATTGTAATTCATTTTTTTTTCATTAACACAGTATAAATTATTTTGTGTAAAGTAGTGTTACTGGAAAGCTTAAAAAATTTAGCAATCAACGCATACCTTTGTTCCCGTCGTTCGCGTCGATTGAATTTCAATGAACGGCTAGACATAGAATTAGATTATTTGATTTTGCAAGCTCCGTGGCAAAAGAAAGTGCTTTGTCTAAGAAATGTTGTATTTCATAATATAGCGGATATTGACAGATTGAAAGAAAAAATTAGATTTTCTTTAAAAATCGCAAATAATTAAAAATCTTGATAATAGCTGTCTTTCGAAACTGGTAAAATTGGTTTGAAAAGTATTATAAGTGATTACCAGTGTTCGACCTCGGATCCCTCATTCCTGAAGACTGTTGGAGATATGGTCCGAATCCAGCGAACAGCTGGTGGTAGTTTTGTGCCTGTGTGAGGCTAATAACAACGGCGACGATCACAACGAACACAGCAAACTAGAACACATATTTATTCAAATTTTATTATCACATATACGGTTATCGGACCATATGACTTCATATGCTATAATTACGCCATATAAGATAAAATACGACTATACAACTATGCTTCTAATTGTTACAAGCCGAGTGCTTTGAATTATTAATTTTCCATTTTACGTAACGTCGTAACGATTTCCTCGATTTGGTATGTGCATGTTTAAAGTCATACGAGCCCGCACCGCACCATTTTCCATATTTTTTCCGATAGTTAGGAATAATGGAAGTTACAAAGAAGAAAAGAAAAAGTTCACTCGGCGGACAAAGCGCACACGTATGTTTAATTCGTAAAGTAATTACTCGGAATTATTTATCTTTAATATACTTTACGTAATTGACTAACGATTTCCTTCGTTTTCGCCGTTATCTCATTTCTCTCTCAAACATGCACGCAACGCAAGGTCGCACGAGGGCCAGCGGTAGTAGTGCAATCAATTAGCGGGCAGATAAAAATGTAAGAGAAGAAAAAAAAAAGTTGCGCAAGACATCGATAAAGTTGGCAGTAAAAACCAGGGCGATCGTAAATTCGTGATCCGCGGTGGAGAGTTGGATGACTCCGGCTATAACAAGCGCGTGGCTTAATCGAGGCGCATGCCGCAAGGCGGAGAGTAATCAAAGCTGATTGATGGCTTTTCGAAGGAGATCCGCTGCAGCGCGCTGATAAACCTAGGCGGTTCAACTTTTCCTTATCGACGCAAAGAAACGGGATAAATTTTCCTTTCGGGCTATGAAGTAGACACGAAAGGGTATGATTACGATAATTTTCGAAAAAACAACTTCTTCTCTGAACATTTATTACGGATACCTGTAACGCCTGCATCATCAAAAGATTTATCCTCGTCAAAATCAGGAAAGCTTATATTCATCCATATCGGGATATAAATTCGCGATAATGGGAAGTTGAAAATTCTCTCTTAAAATTGCGATTTGTATCCTCATACGTGTATACCGCGGAGAGAAATATCCAAACTAGCTTCTAGTGTTATACAGAGAGCGAGCGGAAAAGAAAAATTTAGTTTTGTTCATTCGATGCTTTCAAGCAAAGGCTGCTTTCTATTTGCGCGCGCGCGCTCGCACACTTATCGAAGATAACTGTTGCGAATCAAAAGAAAATTTTCCCCTCGGAGTCTGTTCATAATTCACAAGATAAATGAAGCTTGAAAGGCCTGTGCGGATACTTTCTAAAATCCATCAAAATCTGCGCAAAATTTTCAATGGCCTTTCGCACAAGTGAAAACGGCGATCTAATTATCCTGGCAGCCCGCGAGTGACACGATAAGTCCACACGGCGACTACCATACCAAGCAATGCATTATCCAGCATCCCTGCTCGCTTGCGCTTATGGCTGTCGACAAAAATTATCTTTACCGGTCGGGGGTTAAATGAGCCTCGGGATTTCTAGATTAAACGCTACATGTACACATATTAAAAAGAGAAATCAAAAGTCCAGGATCGTTAAATACCGCGCATCGTAAATTAAATCATCGCTGCTGTATAGTCACACGGCTGTTTATCGAGTGTTGTTGTTGCGTCGAGCGCGAATCCAAATTGACAATCGATCATTCATTGAACGGACGTTAATAAGATGCTAATAGACTCGACATGATAAGCATAAATGGTTACTGCTTAATCCGATTAGATGGAACGAAGTTTTGCTTTTCAGCAATTGCGGCGAATTCGAGAGAGAGAGAGAGAGAGAGAGAGAGCGAGCTGAAACCAGAGTCACGGCTTTGCGTAAACAGAAAATATGTAAAACTCATCATCCACATGTATTGCGCAAAGGAAGAGCGAAAAAAGAAAAGAAGACACGTTTAATTGTCCAGTTACGGGACGATAGCCATCTTTCAGTTTCACACGTTGTCACCGAGCGTTGCTCCTTCATGGTCTTGTGACGCAAACGCACGTACGCACGCGCGCGGGGCGCGACCACGATGAAGCCGTCACGCCGACTTTATCGTTTCGTTTCGTCGCTGGCTCGTGTGGTAAGTGCGCATCTTGTGTAAATATCGCACTTTACGCTTGCCAACGAGTAAATTGACTCCTTTTTTTGCTCGTTCCTGCTTCGGCTGCATTGCGAGGCTGCATGTATGTTTCGATAAAAAGGAAAAAAAAAACACGAAAAGAAAATCCGCGCGCGCAAAGAGCGAGACAATGCGATACGTGTCCACGCGCGCGTCTAAAATCGAGATGCAAAAAAGGCAACGCGGAGCATTAATTTTAACGCAGTCGTTGAGTAAGCGGCCGAAGTTAAGAGCAAAAAGAATATCGAGCGAGAAAACTGGCGCAACGCTTTACGTACATAGCGTGGACGGACGGAAAACGAAAAGAGTAAAAAAAAAAGAAAAAATGAAGAAAATAAAAACGGCACCAGTTATTAACATGCGAAATGCTTTTTCGTTGGTAATATGCGTGGGAAGTTGGCAACCGATCGATCGAGTGTATAAAGTTGATTACAATATACTGCGCGCGTCGTGGTATGCGAAGGCTTCTTCTTGCGCGATAACGTAAGAGTGTCTTGTTGGCTCGTCATCCATTGGAGATTAATGAAAGAAGGAGAGAGGAAAAAAGAGCAGGTGTCGGGCGAATAATAACGACTGCTTCAAACGCAGGCTGGTCAATCGTGTCAAGTTCGTCGTACACGCTATTAGCACGTGTGTTTCTCTGCATGCTAATTGTCGCCATGCGTATGTATACACGCGTCACGTGGACAAAGTAACCACGGCACACATGTCCATCCCTGCATGACGCCTTTCGTCCTATTGTATAACTGAACTGTGTGTTTCGATTTACTTCTTTTCCCTCTCTCCTCGCGCTCGTAATTATTACTTGCTCGCGCGTACGCGTCGAATTATGTAAGCGAAATACAGGTCGACGGGCAAGTGGCGAGGGTTGATTTTAGCGTACAAGGCCCGAGAAATGTAATGAGTATCTCGTAGCTACCTAACGGTAGCTCGACTACGCGCGTTATACTTATCCATGCAAAATAGAAAACCGCTTTTCTATCGAGTATAATACAGTTTTTCGTCGTAACTCAGCTTTCACGTTCTCAATATCTTTCATATCGAAAGCATGAAAGAAACAACCACAACATCAAAAGTTCTCGAGATCGAAACGATAAATACGTGCGCGCGGATAATCATACGCCTGGCGCTGATCGTTCTTCCGTATGCGATTTACACGCACTCGCACCTACCTCGTTGCAACAGATGCGTCTATTAAAAGGCGGACAAATTAACGTCGATCGAGCAAATGAAACACGCAAACTACCGATCGAGTGGTCGTAAACACGCGACAATAACTCTTCGGTAACACGTCTTAATTCTTGTTAGTGAAAACACACACACAAAAGGGAAGGAAAAGGTAGAAAATTCGGATTTATATACTTTTCGGCTTAACGGTAGCACGCCGATTATTTCACCTAGGTAGCCATATAGCATATCAAAACGAGATTCGAGTAGGCAGTTACCAGTCACACCTTACATAAGCGTAGGTAATGCATTCACCTGTGCGAATGTATAATGCCTTAGATCGCGGCAGCTGCGAGCATCAATAGAGATTACGCAGAGCAATAATGTCGTTTTTTCGAAACCTGACATTTAGGCTTGACACACAACTTTCGACCCTGAACGGCTTATCCGCCCTATTAGTCATTGATTGTCTTTTGTCAATCTTTATATGCATCCACAAGGTGTATATTTTGTAGCTGCTGCTCGTAATGGTCCCGCGCGCACAGCGGAACAGTAAACATGGGTTTTCAAGAGTTCCAAGTCACGTTTGAACACGAAATTGTGTATCCTGGTTTTACTTCCATTTTTTCGCTTTCAATTTGCTAGAATACCGACATATATATATATATATATATATATATATATATATATATATATATATATATATATATGCGTTTCTCTCGACACCGAATGCGTCACTTTTGTTAGCGCAAGAATTGCCGTGTGATTCCGACGAGCTTATTTTTTTTTCCTTTCGCGGCATTTCTTACTTCTAAGGCTGCAATTACTAATAAGGAGTTGCTTAAGCGTGTGGGTATTCTAAATTATAGCCGCTAAGCAGATTCGCGAATTAAGTAGAAAAAGACGGATATGGTCAGACGCGAACATTTTAAATTGCAGCATCATCTTAAACAATCGTCATTATGTCTTGAATGATCGAATTTTATTCAACATTTCTCTATAACATCATGAAAACTAGCTCATAGTAAAATACGAGTTAGTTTAAATTTAAATTAAATTAAAATTGAAGAAAAAATATCAGTTTCTCTGTTCTACTGTTTGAAATTATTCTCCATAAGAATCAATCAATGTCTACGTGTATTTTCTAACACGTTGCTCACTCGAGACTTGACTACTCTAGCAGTGTTAAACTCCGGCAACGCATTATTTATATTTTCTTTCTTTATAAAAGTAATCTTTTTACGACTCTATGGCGTTCACAAGAGCTTACATAACTTCGCGAGCGCAACTAAAGTAATTAGTAACAATAAGTAATTCGATCTCCGCGAGTTAAATAGTAAAGAGGCAAGTTGTAAAAGTGCCTGTCTGCCGATGTCAGAAAAGTAACGCGATCTGCTAGATAAATCAGCGGAATTCCAGGCTTCGTGCCTAATGTAGAGAAAGCCGTCGACTTACCGTCCTAATTGCGCATCTAAATAATTGATTTGTTTCGCTTCTGCGCACGCAATAATATAACAACAACACAAAATAATCATAACAATAGGACCGTAGCCTAAAATCTGTTTCTTTTGTGATTAATCTTTCAAAAGAATCGAATTGCGAGGCAAGATTAAATCAATTTGAAATTTTTTTTCGAGCTTATCGTAAAACAAGGCTCGCTGTTACTCATGACCGATTATGGGGTGTCAAGAGACTCGTTTCTCTTGTCAGAGAGCGAACGATACGATTAAATATTACCTCTACCTGCGTGTACGCGGAGGCTATATTTTC